CAACACAGGTCTGGTAGGCACTACTGCGGGGTGGGGGGGGGAGGCGGGGAGCAGACATGCTGCAGTGTGGGGATCTGAATGGAGTGTACACTAATTAAAAAAATAAACAGTGATACAAAACACACCAGCCCTCTGCTAAGATGCAGCACTTTAGTACACAGGCTAGTGTGATTGGGCACTGAGAGTTTTGACAAGCCAGCCAAATAAGGGATGACTATGGAGTCAATTCACAAAGCTTTTATTACTGATGTCATCCGTTCTTAGATATTGCACGCATTTTAGGTTGGCTCAATTCACCAAATGATTTAATGCTTAGAATATCCACCAATTAACATGTTTGCAGAAGTAATATTTTCTTGTGTAACACATTAATGTTTCAATCATTATTTTAACAAACCTAAAATAATTAAATAAGTACAGAAGTTCAATTCACAAAGACATTTTGGCCATTTACAGATCGTTACATAAGTGCCTCCTTCCGGGAGTTGTGATGATCTTTTACTGGCAGTATTCTCTGCTCTGAAAGGGAGATTTGAGGTGAATTGATAACTTCTGGTAGTGAAGCCTCTTTTCTGCAGTTTTTGGAAGATAGAACTACTGGCCTGTTTTTTAAAATTTTATTTATATATAATATACTGTCATTTTATTTTTTTGGAGTGGGGTTGTAATTCATAAACTTTGTAACATGTAAACCAACAGTTTTAATAAAGTTGTTTACATACAACAGTGCAGCCTGTTGAAAACACATCATTTGCAGGCAGTTCTCCTCCCCTTCTGGTCCCAGAATTCATCAGCCAAACTTATTTTAACACCTTAAATGTTAATTCTATGATTCAAGATGTACCATTACGCTTCAGTTGCCAAAATAACTGAACACATAAACACAACTTCCTAACGCTTCACTTGGAAGCCTTAACAAACATGCTAAATAACCATGGGGAGTTTCTGAATACCATGTTTTCAAATGAGAAAAAAAAAAAATGAGGTGAATTAACTAGAGTAAATAAAGTTTTTCGTGTTTTGGTACTTCCCTGTTAAATGGTGCATGTTTTTGCATTTGGTTTAATCAAAACTCAGTCTGGGTAGCCACAAATTTCAAAGCATTTTTCTGATGTATTTGTTACCACCTCAGAACAGGGTTGTTTTTGCCACGTTTCCATCTACCATAATGTTCTTGGACAATCTATAGCTGCCTTGACACACATGACACTACTGATTAAAATAAGTTGCCCATGTGACTATAAATGTTGGGGAAGGTTTCCATTTGAATGGAGGAAGTCACTTGGATGAATGATTAACATCTTAAACATTACAGACCATGAGTATTTGAATGTAACTAATTACTACAGAAAGAAGAACCTGAACACGTGAAAACCTTTCTATAAAAGGATGTTTGTTGCAATCATTTCATGTGTGCTGATTATTTAAAAAGGTTTCTAAAAATGTGCTGTAATTTGGTAGGGTGTATGTTTACTTGACTTACAAACCATTCATATGCTCCGCCTCATGTGACATCAGAGTTCTCCTCCAATTACTGCTCTCCATCCCGATACAGGGGGCTGACAGCTCGGCCTTGTGCAACGATCACACCGGTTTCCATCCTGATACAGGAGGCAAGCTCTGCCTCCTGCAACACTTTCCTCCCCCCCAACCTCTCTGCATGCTGAAACCTTCTCTTCTCCTGGCCGGTACACAGACCAGCACCTGGCGGGGAGGAGAGAAGCATGACATTTTCGGCCGTCGTGTCATTTTTGGCCAAAATTTCGGTGCATCATAAGCGATGCAAAGTCAGAGAAAGCTTATGATAAAGTGAGTCTGCATATATTTGTATGCAACATTGAGAGGGTATCAAGCTGTTATTTCTTGTTCGGTATGAGATCACAATCTGGATGAAGACTCTTGCAATGCGATTTCAGCACCAGCATTATCACTCCATACAAAGGATCTTTTTGATGCACTTTGTGTGGACTAAAGATGAAAGTGAGATAATTTTTTTTTATTGACGTTTAGTTTTGCATGCATATGAAAAATTAAACCGTTTTGGTACAGAAACATGGTCTATATGCCCATAAAGGTGTTTAATTGAGAGTCCAGATATGGGAGAATGACCAGTGCCTACACAGGCATGGCAGAGTGGCATGCTCACAGCTGGCGCTACAAAATTTAAGCAGATCCTCAGATAAAGTTACCCATTCACTGTCACACAATGCCCGTTCGAATTAGAACTCCAGGCAAGTAGTAAAATTAGTATATACACAAGTAGTATATACACAATGAGAGCCGTTATAAGTTACCCTCCCCCCCCCCGTTGAGATAGTAAAGGAAAAGCAGCACACTGATGAGCTCATCTTTGTTCTTTCCTCCTATATGCATGCTCCTTGCACTACCAAGTCAAATGCATGTACTTGCAGTAAAAACAACAAAAGAAACAATAACGTGTCAATTACAACGCTGCTTTCATTTGTATTTTAGATCTACCTTGAGTTAATCTTAACTGCACTTAAAGCCCAACTCCAAGCACGATAATCTTACTGGAGTTCAGCAAGTTGCCATGATCAGCAAGGCCTTCTTCTGCCCAGAGTTAGGCTTTAACATGTTTTCCACCACCATAGCTCCAAATAAAAGCGTCTGTAAAATAAATTACTTCAGAAATATATATATATAAAAATGTCAGATTTAACCCCTTCGTGACTGACGACGTACAGTGTACGTCGCCAGCATCGGGGCTGTTTAAACAGACTCCCGGCGACTTTTGCCGCCGGGAGTCTGTTTAAACTTGTAGAGCCGACTGTCGGCTTTACAACAGAAGCGATCCTGGCGACTTACCTGTCGCCAGATCGCTTCTGCGTC